GAGAAATTTGGTCTTTGTTTCTTGTTCCTAATCCTTCGTGACATCTAGCTTTCTACCACCACTTCCAACTTGCTGCCCTGTTCTTGACTCACAAATCCATTAACATTTTAGAAGTCATTAGCATGGAAAGAGTCATTTCTTGCTATTAGAAGTCTTCCACTGTTGTACATTTGCATCACAGGCAATAGTTTCCCAGGTGGTTGCACACTTCCAGGTTTTTGTAGCTGTGGCCCTTTACTAGACAGTACTTCCCCACCCTTACCTGACCCTGCTTCAGCCAGGCCTCCCAGTCATGCTTGAGTCTCATAATCAACCCCTTGCATCTATCCAATTTCCATGCCACATGCGATGGTGGGGTATATCTTAAATTTGTATTTCTTTGTTTTCAGAAGCTTAAATTTGCATTCCCTTCATGCCTGAAGAAGGATGATTGCACCCGAAAGCTTGCTAAGAACTTTTTTCCAACTACTCAGTTGGTCTAATAAGAGAGATCACATCGGCTCAAAAAAACCTTGCCTGCCCATTCCTTTTACAACTTTCCTAGGTCTTGACTCAAATGGGAGTCAGGAAGAGGTGTTGGAAAAGTTGGACATCAGAGCCTCCAAAGATCCTGGCATGTGAAGAGGCGGACAGAGAGAAGAGCTTAAAGCTCCAGAATTGCTGATGGGAATTGTGGGGGGAGAGGCACAGGGAGAGCTCCTAAGATCCCAGCTGCAGGAATGGGGTCTTCACCCAGATCCCAAGTGTCACTCTTTTATCTATCAGTAGAGTCATACTCTTTGAATGTTGCACTTAATACTGTTTCTCCAAAAAGGTATGAGAAAATATGTACTGGCTAGATTCCACATCAAACTAGTGAGAACCTTTGGGGCACAATCAAAGCCATGGTCTGATCCCTAGGTGTGCACAAACAAGATCACTAGACTGTCAGCCATTAAATGTTGTATTTTGAGGGGCTATATCTTGATAACCCATAGTGCAAAGACCTCCCTCTCTGCCACACAGATCTCTAACAATATTCTGCCACCCCATATCACACTAAGGTTATGGAGCCATGCATAAATGAAGTAAAATTACAGCATTTGCCCATGTGAATGTTTTGTAGCAAATATGAGGTTACTCTCCTCTTTTACACAGAGGTAGGTTACCTGTCATCTCTTCTGATACAAGTACATGTGCATGGACAGCTAGCAGGGAATAGTTGTTGTGTGTAAGTTCACACGTTGGCTCATGTCAGTAACTTATTTGTCAAAATTGAAGGAAAGCCAAGAAACCACAGATTTTGGAGTGTGTAAGAGTGGACTTTTAAACTGGGAAGTAGTGGTGTGGAGTTGCCCTCAGCGAAATGAGGCTGCCTCATGGAGACATACAACTGAAACAGTAGTTCTGAGAGGAGATGTGAACTGCTCTCTTCTTTTGGGTGTGTTTTCATTCTTTTTTCTTAGTGTTGAGAGCCTGTGCTAGTAATCAGTGGGCCTCAGCTCCCCATGCTGGTCTCAGCACAATATACTTTTAGCATCATACCTAGTCTTAGCTCCTCACACAGAGGGGTCAAGGCTTCCCTAGATGGTGAGGGAAGCCTTTGGGTTACGTGGAGGGCAGGAGATAGTTTTAGAAACCCAAAAGACATTCATCCCTCAACCAGGCATGTGAACAGAGGACAAGTTAGGGCTCCCCTATTGGGGGCGGGGGGATGGTAAGAGAGCCACACTTCAGGAGGATATAGGACCACCAGAACCTAGGCTGTGTGTGGATCCAGGAGAGTAAGATGCCTCCAGCAGTAATGGCATTCAGGTTCTGTCACGTGGAGAAGAGTGGCTCAGACACCCCTGCATGGTACAACTGTGAAGTGCTGATTCATGTGGGTCTGGACAAGAAAAGGGAGTTGTTCCCTGCTTGTATAGGGGACTGAGAAATGTGGTTCGACACACCTGCAAGGTAAGGGAAATGGCAAATCCCAGGTTGGGGCAGCAGGAGAGAGTGATCACCCAAGAGGGACTTGGCTCCTACATTTTAGCACATGTTTGTCCATATGTTGGCCTTCAGGGTCTTCTCCTCTGCTGTCCCCCTTCCCTCCCTGTCTGTGTTCTCAGCACATCCTCAAACCCTTCTCCCCACTTTTTCCCTTCCTGCTTTCAAGCATTTGCATAAACAAGTTCAGTTGTTTTTTAAGCACTTTGTAGTCTTTCTCTCTTTCTTGTAATCAGATTATACATTCCCAAAGCAAGAGCTCCTTTGACAAGCAGGTACTGCCAAGGTACTTTCCCTTTTCTTCCCTCTGAATTTTTGCCAAATGTGGTTTCAGTCTCTTAGTAGGTAAAATCGTGAGCATGTGAACAAGTTAGTATGAGGTAAATGAGCGAAAGCTACCACAAGCTAGGTGTGTTATCTACCACTAGGTAAGAGCATATACACGAGCAGTTAGTGTGGAGTAGCTGAGGTGCAGTTAAATTCTGTTCATCTTTATCTTGTGGTAACTTGTGCACCCAGATGCAGGTCAGGTTGCATGGCTACTGCATATCCCCTTGAGTCAGTGCATTTTCATGTGAAAACTGGCAAGATCAGAAACTTCTCATCTGCCTACTTCCTGCACGTGCAGAATATATCTTTTTGGGATTAGATATGCACCTGTCTGAGGAGTCCAAATCTTTTTGAAAGCCAGCTTTAATTTTGCTCCATCCAGAGGGCAATGGGTTTAAATTTGTTGAGCAAGTGAAACTATTTTGGGCATGATCAAACTTGTGGTTTTGTCCTTATGTCCTTTCAGTAAGTCAATAAGCAAACCATTTTGTCTACATTTTGTATGATCTAATGAAGTTTATCATGTGTTTTAAAAAAATACTATTTTAGTGTCTGTGTAGATTAAGACTGAAGTGAACTTGCATACAAAGCTGCCTGCAGCCTCTAGGCAATTATCTCCAACTAGGACAAGTATCAGTGTTGGGTGCTCCTTTTAAATAGGTTTAACTAGGATAAACTCATTTTCTAGATTAAACTGAAGTTTTAGGACTAATGGTGTGCTTCTCCCTAGTCCTGTTAGCCTACTACTTGGCCTGGGGGCCAAGTTAAGCACTTGAGGAGTGCAGGTGGCCTGCAGGCCAGCAGTTGGACAGCCTTCAACTGAAATATTGAAGGGCATTAGTGGATCCAGGCTTGGAACAAAGGGGGTATGGCAGCGACATGCTGGTTAGTTCAGAACGCTCACTGTGCATGCGCGGCACAGCCAAAGGGGATGGGACTGTGCCACTGTACCCGTGGGATCTATATCCGTGTGTCTGTTGCTTCCCAGGACCTAGAGATGGGGAGCTGAAAATTGATTAATTGAGTGACTTTGGGTTAATATTTGTGTGTGGTATTAGGTGATATATCCTTAGCTGTGGGCAGAAGGAAGATGTTAAGTAATTATTCAGATCATAACTTAAGTGGGTATAAATAGAACATTTTGTTTTTAATGAGTTGTGTAGTCTATTCCAGCACTGTCTTAAACAGTGGCTCATGATTTAAGGTTAAAATAAGACTGAACTTGTGACTGCCTCAGGGAAAGTTGTGGGCTTGCATAAACACTGTCAGGGAATGAGTCCAAAGCTGAAGTTTGTCTCCAATATTACTGGAGTTCATTGTGCTCCAGTTTGTTTGAGAGTAACCCCCAATTCTCGATACAAAGGGAGAAAAAAAATGTGCTAAGTAGTAGGTACAGAGCAACAGAAGGAAGATTGCACTTAGCTGTCCTGCCTTCACTATTACCCTACACTATTGCTGAGCTCCCATTCCTTCTTGCTCATTTCAGCTTTTTTTAAAGTCAGCTTTAAACAGAGCCAACTTGCCCTCAAAACCAAGTTTCTCAGACTTGTTTGCTTGGAAACAGGCTCCAAATCTTACATGTTGAAAGGTCTTTGTGTAAGTTTATTCAGTTTAATTGAATGGTTTCCTGGTGCCCTTTACAAAATAAAGCAATTACATCTGACTCATGTCCAAGGTTCCTCCCTGCCCCCCCTTTGGATGTCCTTATTTATAACCATTTGTCTGCTATGAAAATCTATTTTTGGCTTACAAAATTCATCAAACTATAATTGATACTAGGCAGAAAGTAGGGCAGAGTGACACCTTTTATAGATGAACTAATTCAGAGGCATATACCAGTGATTCTTAGCCAGGGTGTCTAAAAAAGGTTGAAAACTATTGGCATAAGCGTTCATAAGCAACAGTTTGCTTTGTCAGTTGCTGTGAATGGTCCATTCATAGCAGCTGACAAAGCAAGCTGTTGCCTCCCTGAATTAGTCTATAAGGTGCCACTCTGCCCTGCCTTCTGTCTGATTTCAGAGTAACAGGATTAATCACCTCTCTTGCAACATTAGAGGTGCCATGCATGAGGAAAATGGCCTGCTTTCCTTTTCTGCCCATTTATGATGCAACCATTTTTAGGCATCTTGCGTATATCAGTGTGTCTGCTTTGTTATAGTTAATAGTCAAGCTTTTCATGAATTGTAAAATGTTTCCAGACCGGAGAACTAGGGGGAAACTTATAAATTTGCAAGGGTTCAAAGGTAACCAGATAGGAGGGAAGGGGATTCTTTACAACCTACCTGGTTTTAAGTTTTATTTGAAGAATCTTAAGCATTAAAGAGGTTAGCACTAATCTTCAGCACTACATAAGGTTTGAAATAGATGTGGAGCTCCCAAGTAATCTGTTAGCAAAACTGGGAAGAATGCACTTGATATTGGTTACTTTCTAAAATTAGAAACTGCTTTTTTTTTTTCTTTTTTGGTGATATAGGAAGAGAAGGGGGAAAATCCTCATCAAGCACTACAGACAAGCAAACAACACATTTTAAAACTGTTTTCTGTCTCTGTAAAGGAAAGCAGAAGGCAATGTAGAGTTGCACCTTACAGACTAACTAAAAAAGAATTTAAAGATAGAAATGTTTACAGTTAATTAAGTTGGTGTCTTGACTACAGATTTCAGTGTTAATGCTAATTGAACAATGTTTTCTTTTTTGCAGCACTAGAAAGTTTGGGTTTTGGCTCCTATATCAGTGAGGTAAAAGAAGTCTTACAAGAATGCAAAACAGTAGCACTAAAAAGAAGAAAGGCCAGTTCTCGTTTGGAAAACCTTGGCATTCCAGAAGAAGAACTCTTAAGGCAGCAACAGGAGTTATTTGCAAAAGTAAGTGAGGCAGTGATTTTGATTTTAGTATTTCTGATTAATGCAGACTTTTTTTCCTGCCAGTTACAACAAGCTGTCAGCAAGGTTAGATGAACTAAATACTCTCTGTATTTAGTTCTACAGAAACATATACAGAATTACTCCCCTTTTTCATCATCTGTTTGGGTTTGAAAGATTTTACTGAATCTGACCTTGAGTCATAGAAAAATAATGAAAAAAATGCATTACTTTTCCACCAGGTTGGTGATAGCAAAAACATGCAGCTAAACCAAGTATCTTTGTCATATTTTGTCATAGTTGTGACTTTAAAAAGTTACTGTTACTCTGCATTTCTTTTTCCCCAACACTAACGGTACCTTTTACAGTGATGGAAGCTAATTTGTTCACAATCTGCTTGTGCTCAGTTTTTTGCTCACTGTTACTCAGAGCCTATCAAGCCTCTGTTCAGCTGTTAAGGCTCCTTATGCTGTTACCTACAGGGCCTTACTTCTAATAATAGCCTTGCAGTTGACAAGATGGTAGTGTGTTTCAAGGCTAATAGCACAGAAGTCGACATGTTCTGGAAGGATCAATTGCCCACACAACGTAGTTGGCTATTTTTTATTGCCAAATTAAAATTACTCTGTTATATGCATCTTGTACTCTGATAAATTAGATTTGCTAATCTAAATTCAGGCAGAAGGCAAGACAGTTACACTCTAAAGCAGTGTTTCCCAACCTTTTCCAGCCCAAGGCACACTTACATGAATAAAAATTTTCTGTGGCACACCTGTTAAGGCATTCCCTATCATCATCCATATTGTAGCTCATTGCCATGGCAAAATTCTGCAGCACACCTGTTCATTTCTGACAGCACACTTTTGTGCCATGGCACACTGGTTGGGAAACACTGCTCTAAAGCAGGGGTGGGCAAAATATGGCTCATGGGCCAAATCTGGTCTGCAGATTGATTTTTTTTGTTTTGTTTTGTTTCTTTTTTAATCTAGCCTGCAGGTAGTAGGTGCATGCAGCAGCAGTGGCTACCAGGAGCTGGGCAAGCCATGCTCTGGCTCTGGCCTCTGCTGATGGGTGGCGGCTCTGGCTCAGGCTCTGCTGGCACTGCAAGGGACACTGGGAGATGCAGTTTTGCCCCACATGGTGCCTGGGAGATGCAGTCTAGCCCCTCAGGCCCTGAGTGAGCCACACTTGGGCCCTGGAAGCTCTGGCTTTGGTTGTGATGTGGTGCCAGGTGGGCGGGCAGGGTTGCTTCCTCCCAGCAGCTGCCAGGGCCCAAGCACAGCTCATCCAGCCCCTGTCTGTGTGAGGTGGAGCCTGGCTGCAGGCCTCCTTGCTGTCCCATCTCTACGGATACGGCTGGCTGGGCTGGAGGCGGTGAGGGTGGGGAAGAGAGAGAGAGTGTGCGTGTATGTGCACGTGCGCATGTGTGTGTGTGTGGCCCTCAACAGCTCATCTAAACTTGTTAAGTGGCCCTCCAGCCCAAATTATTGACCATCCCAGCTCTGCCTTCTACCATATATTAAAAAATCATCAGTTTTATGAAGTTGCAGTGATGCATTTTTTTGTTCTTCTGACCAAATCGGTTCATAGATTTCAACCCTTAAAAAATGAGAAATGCCCTTTTCCCCTTCATACTTCTCTTCCTTTTTCCTTGGTGATGCTGTTTAATCACTGGGATTCATTTATGAGTGTTAAGCAAACAAGTTAAATGTATTTCTCCTGGCCTGCCTGAAAAGCAAAACAAGGTCCTGCATTTTGGCCTATCTTTTCAGCACTTCTTCCTGAGTGTTTTGCAAACAGCTCATGCTCAAGCAAGTAACAGCTAATTCCATTGTTTTTCTTCCAAAACTGCTTTTCCTACTCAGTTGCTGTGACAACACTATCATTCTGCCAAACTGGCAATATGGGAATCATTTGTACTTCCTCCTTCTTTCCTCAAATCCAAACCATATCCATGGTATTTGGCTTTTTCTTTATGAGACCCATCCTGTCCTCTCATTTCCAACAGTAAAAATATATATATATATTTTTTTTTTATTTGTTTTTTATTTGTTTCTAGACTGGCATACAGCATTGTGGCATGAGCCTGAGTGCAGATATACTTAGCACCTTTGGTCTCTGACTCTTGAGACCATTAGAAGGCAAGGTACATCTGCCCCTTACACCTACCAGAATAGGTACATATATAGATGGAGAGAGATAAGCAAGTAGATATCTATCTACTTATACCATTTTTACTCCAATACAAGACATATTTTTTCCCCCCCAAGTAGCATAAGGAAAAAAGCCCCTTGTATTATAATCGCCTACAACAAAATCTCACTAACTACATTGTCTAGCAGCATGTGCTCAGCAGTAGAAAACTTCTGTGAAGTTAATTAAGTGCAGCTAACACAGAGGATGACAACAAAGTGTGTGGCCCACATTGGGCAAACATGCTGATGAGAGCTTACTATAAGAATAGATTAGTGCAGCCCATCTGAATAAGGTGTATTGTAGTGCCATTAAGTGCAGTCCTTTCGCTACCGACTCTTTTTCAAGTCATGGTGAGTCATGACATTTGCATACAGTTCACCCAGGATCCCTCTCAGCCTGGTGTATGAGAGAGGTGAGGCTGGACCAAATTGCCCTGTGCCTCATCTGCATATAAATTTTTGGAGCATCCCACGACAAGAACACCCTATTCCAGACATGAGTGAGTGCTAATTAGCATATGGCTCCTTTGCGGGGGGTGGTAATCTGGAGAACACATATGTTGAGCAGTGTTGAGCTGTTGGGTCACTGGCTTGAAATGCTGTTGACTGAGGCCCAGCCCAATGAACTGTGTGATCAGTTGTGAGCTTTTGGTTGTAGACTAACGTCATGCATAGTGCTGAGAGGAGAAGAGGCTCCAGATTGGAGCTCTCTTTTTGACTAAGACTGGGGGCATCTGAAACCCAAAGCCTCTAGACCTGAGGCTTGCATGTAGGATGCCTGCTTGGATTTAGGGAGTACATGAAGCCCCGGACCAATGGATCTAGGAGGGAGGATAGTTGCTTAGTAGTAGAGCCACTCAGACTTGATGATTGAGCTCTGCTTAGTTGAATTTTGAAGCTTGACTACTGGGTTTTTCCCAACTGAATTTGAAACTGATTTGTCCCTCAAAATGAAATATGGAAAAAGGAAAAAAAAAGTTGTAATAAGTGTTGCTCAAAAGTGAATTTATGGAATACCGGTGGTAAAACTTGCAGCAGATTCTAAAAAAGGAAACGTGCATCAAATCTGGATAAACTCAGTGCATGGGTACTATATGCAAATTGTTACACCCATGTTTAATTTCAAGGTTATTGTTTTCAGTTTTACTCCATGCTTCCATGTGCTCAAGGAGAGCAGGATCTGACAGTAAGGACAGGGGGGAAAGGAGCTGCCAGGGTTAAAAGTTGGGGGGAAGCAGAAAGCAAAGGGCTGCCTGATCCCTCCAGACTTTTCCCTGCTCTAGCAGTGGGAGGGGAACAAATTCAAGGCAAATCTCCAGTAATTAAATTCTATACATGGACAATTATACCAAATTTATATTTTTTTCCATATATAGAATCTAATTATTGTAGGGGTCAGAGCTAATACTCTGTGTTAGCTGCAGGGTCATCTTCAGGGTCATCTTCTGTTTCACCAAGTACAGTACATCTGTATCTGTTGCACTGCAAGCTTTTGTGAGCTGAAGCTCACTTCATCAGATGCTGTAAAAGGACCATGCAGCCATATGGAATTTCCTGGTCTTTTTCAAAAGAATGAAAACAGCAAAGAAGCTTTAAGCACCATCACAATGATATGCCATGGGTAAGGAATCCCATATTCTTGATGGATAGGTCAAGAAGTTTTACAGGTGACTACCTCATTGAATATGCAATAGATATTTGTTAAAATATGCTTGGTCTGCTAAATTTAGTGTCTTGGACACACACATCCCTTGTTAGTGGCAGCAGTATGTTAATATGTAGAAGAAGTGTGGGTTTGTTTGTTTTTTGGGGGTTTTTTTAGAAGCTTGGTTTAAAAAGGCTAAAAATACTGAGGTATTGAAAGTGTACAGTGATTCTGTTGCACAGCTTCAGAGTATAGACTAGGGTTGCACCAACAGATATTTGGGGCTGATTTTTTTTTTTTACCGAGCAGATAATACCAATTTTACTGATGGCTGATTTTTTTTTTTTTTTAAAGGGAGCCATATTGGCTGATACTGATCCGAATGCAAGCATGCGGCCTGGCAGCTTAGAGAGCAACATCCAGCTGGTAAGTCGGGGGG